GAATATGGAAATAAATTATACATCAATATTCCTATGAAATATTAGATATTATTATAACAATTTTGCCAATTATTACTCCAATTATTACACTTCTTTTTTCATTAAATGTTGCTCCAAGAACACATTAATATGCAAATTAGATACAGTGTATAGATACATTGCATTGAATGGGAATATTAATTTATGGCCATTTTACCCACATATTGCATAAAGTAAAATGGTGTATCAATTCATTCCATTATATCTTTCATAACATAGTTGAGAATCATCTTTATACAAATTTTGGTTAAAAAAAATCCTGAAACCCAAAAAGTTATTGGTGATTGAAAAAAAATCCCATTGCTTTTGCCTATACATATAATTTCATGTCATTTTATTTTTTAAACAACGCTCGAAGTGGGTCTCGCCCAGGGTGTGATTCAATGTAGAACCGCCACTGGTTCAGATGACTCAATTTGAAAACTTGGGAGAACATTTGGATATGTTGTGAACAAATGCTTGAGTATCTAAGTAAGGAAAACAAAACAACTTTTGCTAGCGACATGTTTAGAGTATTTTTGTTCAGTTCACACAAAAAATTAAACTGACTTCTCCTACTAAAAATTCTTTGTTCAAGCTACTTTTTTTACATTGGTTAATAGAACTTTTCGAAAGTTGAATTTTTTTACAGTGTAGAGAATTAGGAAATTTAGGAACCAGATTGTTCATAATAGTGTGAAAACAGGGAAAAAAATGTATAGAATGTATTTTATCACTTAGCTCCTTTAATGATCAACAATATGTGTGTAAATATTTGCATGAACAAAAACAAAACAAAAACAAAACAACAACTGATACGTAAACAGAACAAATTTCACAGTTTCACTTTTACTTTCTCTTTCCAGTTTACCCATGTATGCTTGATTGTATATATGCATTTGTTTAAACTAGTTAATGTGTGTTCGTATTTTAGTTTAATAAAACTTTTGTGCACAAATCCCGAGTAGTGATTCTGTGGTCACCGCTTGCAAAACAAAGTCCTTTTAACTTGCTACATGCTCTAGTGCATTAGTACTGCAAGAAGGTTAATTTCTGTCCACAAAAATAAAATTTCTTAGAATTGAAAATTAGAAAAATAAAAAAATACACAATGTTCACTGGCTGAACAGATTAGTCGATTGTAATATGTCTAGTGCACATTCCACATCCACACATCAGTCTGAATGAATAAATGTAGTGTTAATGGCAAGACTAGTTAAAAAGTCAACAACCCACATATATCACTGCTTTATGTCACATCAGAATCAAGGTTGAAATCACTTTTTAGTGAGTGATTTAGGTAGTGAGTAAAGTAGTAGTGTGAAACTAAAGTTTGATATGACAAACATTTGGCTGCAGTTTTCTGTGCTGGTACAGGGGTACTTAGGTCCTACCTGTAAAGCGTAGCATTTCTGTAAAAGGCAATATCCTCCATAATCACTCTCTGATGCTCCTGGAGGACAATATAAATGATTAATGAGTGTCACTCATCAGAAAACCTAGTAAAGAAAGCTTGTTATCCAGTTCAGCTTTCATGCAATGAATGCATGGGGCAGCTACATGTAATTGAAATGCTAAAGGAATGCATGTTTTTTTTTTTCTATAAAAAAACAAAACAAAACAACAACAAATGATAATGACTCTTCAAGGGGCCTAAATAAATAGACAAATACATAAATAGACAGCACAGCAAACTTAGATGGCAGCACTCTGTGATATCATATTTTGTCATATAAATTAGACACATAAATTGGGCTAACATATTTTTTTTCATAATCCTATGACTTCATCGGCATGAAATATGGCTTGTTAAAAAACTAAATTACATAAAAAAAAGTTTTGAAATTGTAATGAAGAAAATCAAAATGGATGGTACAAGCTATATTTATTGCTTTACCTATATACATATATCCATACAGTAAGCTGAAACACCTGTAACATTCATGACAAATGTTTAAATAGGAACAACACTTAAATTATGAAGTAATGACAAATCATTACTCACAATCATACCAAAACAAGGCATTCCAACAATCATAAATCAACAAATGAACTAATCATTAAAAACAAAACAAAACAAAACATCAACTCTCATTTGTAAATCACAGACACAAAGGTGGTGCCACAAATATCAAGGATATGTAGTCACATCTTATTTCAACAGGACAATATCCAAATACAGTAACTCTCTGGAGACATGAAGCTAACCGGATCATGTTCTTTTTTTTTTCCTGGACTACAGAATATCATACACCTGCATGAACAAGTGCAATCCAACTATGAAACTAAGCTAAAGGCTGAGGCTAAAAATGGGTCAAATTCACATCTTTATTACATTTTATGACTTGTTAAATATAGCCAACAAACCAAAATTAACCAATGAAAGTCATACACAACATAAACAGCTGCACCCATCTCATGTTTTTGCATTTAAATTTGAACCATTTAGAGCCATTTAGACAACTTACAGTGATACTCATGAAACCTTTAAAAAATATCTCTGGGTCCACCACAACATCCAAAAAAATAAATAAAAAAATAATAATTTTGGGGTGAAACTGGGTGTTTCAAGAGATTAATCCTTTAACACTCCATTCATTTCTTTTCTATATTTTATCTTTAAATAATTCCCTGAATAATCTGAAATTTTAGGCAGATTTCATGTCAAAAACAAACTCATTTTAAAGATTCTCAAAATGTATTTTTAATTAATTATTAACATTATTATTATTTTAGATCGTTTTAATTCACTATGACAATATTTAGTTGATAAAATACGTGCAAGAGCAGGTTTGGAATACATTACAGCAAGATAACTGGTGCTAAGGGAATGTCTTGGGGTACAACACATCTCACAACCAGCAGAGAATGGTAAAAGATAACTAAGAATCCAGACAACTAATTTGAATGAAAAGATGTGTGTTTGTCGACTACCTGCATGCTTATGCACTCTTAAAAATATAAAGGTGCTTAAAAGGTTCTTAACAGCGATGCCATAGAAGAACAATTTTTGGTTCCACAAAGAACCATTCAGTCAAAGGTTCTTTAAAGAACCATCTCTTTCTTACCTTTTTATAATCTGAAGAACCTTCTTTTGCCACAAAGAACCTTTTGTGAAACAGAAAGGTTCTTTATGGAACCATTTAGACAAAAAAGGTTCTTCTATGGCATCGTGAAGCACCTTTATTTTTTAAGAGTGTGGGTGCTATAATAGTTCTTTTTTTTTTAAAGATATTATGCATCTTAAGTTTTTCTTTACATATCCTCTCTTTCCCCCACTGGTGTACTTGGGGGCAAGTCATTCTACATTGCCAAGAGAGTTGTCCACTTCCTCCTCAGTGGGGCTGGGCTCTAGCCCCATACTCTCTGTTTGGCACAGCTCATCCAGCAGCTCCTTTCCCGTCTCTCCAGCACGAGACGCCCATAGCACAGCACCCTGTTGCAGTCCGATGGAGCGAAGCAGCTTAGCGTAGTCCACAAAGGCTGCACCTATAAGCTTATGTGGAGATGCTGTGGTTAAGGAAGACTGGGAATAGGAAAGTAATATAAAAGAAAAAAAAGGCCAAGTAACTACTTACTACTAATGTGACCCCTAAAAGTATTTGTAAACTTAAGTGGACACCAGTACACATAAGTAAATGGTGTCTTGTAAGCCAGTTTTTTGAATTGCAAAGGACCATTTTAAATGTAGAAGTGTCCAAATATTTCTTTAGGCCATTGTTCAGACCCTGTGAAATGAATTGCTTCAAACATTAAACAGAGTGTCAGTGTGACTCTTAAAGACCCCAGGAAATGATATGACTTTTATTTTCTTGTATTGATGTATTTTGTAGTGAAACAGGTAGCTTGAGTGGGACTTATTACTTACAATTCAGCTGGTATTAAAAGCAAGAGAATTATCATTCTAAAGAGCATTGCTGTGCCCTAATTCTGCTATTATTATATCCTTGAAGGTACTCTTTTTGTGAAGAAAAAGTAAATACTTTTATGTGTAGCAGAAGAGTATAAGCATAATTACATGTATTCTTTCACCATAAATTAGCCTGTCACAGTTAACATCCTCATATACACACTCTGCATCCTCTGTGAGTCCCTATAACTCAAGTGGATAGTAATGCAAACCTTGAGGCTTCAAAAAACACAAAGTGAATACAACAGTAACTATCAATAGGTGTTTTCCATTTGAACATAAGTGCTTTGTAAAGTGGGCTTCACAGGTTATGTAAGATTCCTATGAGATTTAAATCCAAAGGGAGTGTAGATGATCAGTTTGAAGGGCACTGCAAATGGCATAGGTATATGGGCAGTGGACACTGCATAGGGACCCAATCAATCAGAACACTGCTAATGTCTTCAGAAATCATTTTGCTTCAGACAAAGTTGATTAATTCATTAAGGTCTTATGGGTTGTTCTTCAAGGTGGCTTTGTGCAGTTTTTGAAGCGTCAACTTTTGGGCACCCCTTGCATTATATGGGTCTCACAGAGCTAGATTACTTTTCTCAAAATCTATGTTGTATTAATCTGAAGAAAGAATGTCATAGACATCTGGGACAGCATGAGTGTGAGTAAATAGCTGCGTATCCACCGTCGGGCCAAATGAGAGAATGCTTGTGAGTGCCAGGCAATGTTCCCTCTAATTTTTTTTCTTGCTGAGCAAAACTTTTCTCTATTGGGCGGACATTTCGGCCACCTGAGCAAAAACATTCTTCATACCAGACCTGTACAGCGCGCACAAAAAAAAGTGTGTAACTTTTAACTTTAATGTGCTATTTGTATTTAATTTGACCTGTGACTAAATTATGTACATTTTAGGTTACCTGAGAAAACATTTTTTTTTTTTTTTTTTTAACAGTATAATACACTGCCATTCAAAAGTTTGGGATCAATAATGTTTATTAAAGAAGTTTCTTATGCTCATCAAGGCTGTATCTATTTGATAAAAATACTGAATATTATTTCGACAAAATAATATTGTGAAATATTATTGCAATTTAAAGGAGACATATTATGCCCCTTTTTACAATATATATCATCTCTAATATATAATAAAGTCTTTGGTGTCCCCAGAATGTGTCTGTGAAGTTTCAGCTCGGTTATGTCTGTGAAGGTAATCTGCGGGGAAATAAATCGCAGGTTTATTTTAGATCTGTGTGGCAGCAGCAATATACAGTAAATAAATCAATAAATCCACCGCTCTTGTCTCCTCTGAGGCTGGGACTCTAAACAGTGTTCTGTGCTCATCTGTGCAGCCAAAGACAGGACAGTTAGCATGCTTTGCTCAAACGTTGGCCATGGCATTAGAGCTGGTACAACGTTGTCGCTTGCGAAAACACAATAACGGCGCTGTGGGTGTATTACATTTACAGATTAAGGGGCGGTAATATTATAATGAGATCCCTTTGCCACGTCAACAAGGGAGCGAAATCAGACGCGCTCGTTTTCTCAGACGCTTGCAGAAAAAGGCTTACCAAAACAAAGTTACTGGGTTAATCTTTTTCACATTTCCTTGATTGGGAGATGCACCGGGGACCTGATTATAGCACTTAAAGCCTGGAAAAGTCAGATTTTCATGATATGTCACCTTTAAAAAAAAGAAGAAGAAAAAAAAAACTGCTTAAGAACTTGCTTGAGAATTATCACGTTTAAGTTTTGTCATCCATCTTGTAGTTACATGGCTTAATTGCAAAGAGGAACTGCTATCCAGTCTTCAGTGTCACATGATCTTCAGAAATCATTCTAATATGCTGATTTATAATCAATGTTGGAAACAGTTGTGCTGCTTAATATTTTTTTGGGACCTGTGATATTTTTTCAGGATTCTTTGATAAATAAAAAGTTAAAAAGAACAGTGTTTATTCAAAATATAAATTTTGTGTTACAATATACACCACTATTCAAAAGTTTATGGTCAGTATTTTTTTTCTTTTTTTAAAGAAATTAATAGTTTTATTCAGCAAGAATGTGTTAAATGGATAAAAAGTGATAGTAAAGACTTATATTTTTTAGAAAAGATTTCTATTTTGAATAAATGCTGTTATTTTTAACTTTTTATTAATCAAAGAATCAAAAAAAAAAGTAGCACAGGTTCCAAAAAAAAAAAAATATATTAAGCAGCACAACAGTTTCAACACTGATAATAAATCAGCATATTAGAATGATTTCTGAAGGATCATATAACACTGAAGACTGGAGTAATGATGCTGAAAATATTAGAAATTGCAATAATGTTTCACAATATTACCGTTTTTTTTCTGTATTTTCGATCAAATAAATACATCTTTGATGAGCATAAGAGACTCCATTAAAAAACAAGGTCAATTATTTATTAGGTTTATAATATAGGCCTAACATAATATAATATCAAAACAAACTGAAGCATTTAAACTGATAGAATAGAGTAGAAAACAAACTGAAGCATTTAAACGGAGATCTGGAAGTTATTTAAAAAAAACGTGAACGTGAATTCTTCTATAGCCATCTAAATATCCCTATGAAGTACAGTTTGCACAATACACCTGTGTTGACTAAATGTCTCTGAGTTTTCTTACCGTTCTGTGCCCATCATCCGCTATTTCCAGCACTTAATCAAGCCACTCTTCTTTAATACATGATGACGTTTTATTTCACATGTCATTGCATTTGCGTTGGCTCTCGATTTGAGCTATTTCGTCCGCAACCATTAAAATATTCGGTTTCTACAGCGACTCATTTGGCGCACATCATTCTCTTTCTATGAAACCTGTAAACCGCATTCACTGGTTCTAACTCTATAGTGATATCAACTCTATAGCGGTTTACCCGAGCATTGCAATTCATTAGCTTTCGCAAATGGCTTTCTCAACTCATTTATGCGTGTGCACGGCACATTATTTCTTCTGCGCGGCCGCGGTGGAAGAAGTGCGCGGCCGTGCGCGCGCAGCTTAGAGGGAACATTGGTGCCAGGGCCAGTCGAGTTTCCATTGTCACCTCCGGGGCTTGACTGGGCCACCTCTGGGCTTCCTCGGGGCCAAAGAGGTTTTTGGCACATTGAATTCAAAGCAAGCCAACTGGGGCTTGAGGAGTGGTCATGAACAAAGGACAAATTTATCGAAGTCAGGAGATGTAACTTGGGGTAACCCAAGAATCAAAAGAGACAAAGAGACAACACAACATGACCATCATGAGTAAAACCACGAGGACAATCATGAGTTAAGACTTCCTTGGATTGATTTCCCCCACCCATGACAGAGACCAGACTCCTACTACTACCTTTCTGACTTTTTCCTCACAGAACTGAATTCCTCACTGCCTTTACATATATAAATGCATTAGATCATTCTGAAATGATGCAAAGAGTAATGTCATGTCTGTAACCCACACATGTGACTATCATGTTCTAATCACTCATTGTTTATGTCCCTTTTAATAACCATTGAATAGTTTATAAGTTTATGTCCGAATTTGGTATGTGTGTGTGTGTTTGATATTCTTGTTATAGAAATCATGTTTAAATTATACTCTGCAAGAGTGGGAAATTTGGACCATGTGACTAACAAGATAACATGTTGATTTATGTATTGGGAGGAGAAACATAGCAACCCCCCGAGCTAAGACAAAGCAACAACCTGGCAAACCCCCTTTCCACCACAACGCCACAAAACACAGAGGAACGCAAGTATAATACCTCCAGAGTCTAGTTTGAACTGGTGCATTTAATATAAAGTTTCATAGCCTCATTGAACAAATTGGGTACAAGGGTAAATAAATTGATGGATGTTTGTTGAGGTCTAAGAAATTGCTAGAAACTTGGGATTCCATATTCTCACTCTCTTAAAACTCCTTATTTTATCACTTTCTTTCTTCCTGCAACTTGTGTGAATGTGTGAGTGCATGTGTTTACATTACATTAGTTTATATGTATTAGATTTGTCCAATAAAGTCTTGTTCGTATTGAAAAGAGAAGTATCTTGTGTTTTGTGCTTACAAGTTAATGTCTTAAACTGCCGATCTTGTTACCATGATAATAAACAGTGTTTTTCACTATGATTTTGATATTAAAATCAGCTGCAGAACTCATTGTTAAGGCCATTCAATTAATCACTGGCCGATTCAGTTGATCAGCTGTAAAACAGTGATTCTGTCAAAATTCCCTATAAATATCATAATTAATTTCCCTTCAGCTAAATTTCACTTTGTTCCAGTCAGGGAAGTTTCAGAGAATGTTTGGGTTGTTGGCGGCAGCCTCGACATTATTTTTTGTCTGCTTCATATGCGGCCACTGCAGGTTTTGGTTAAAAGCTGCTTGGATGCTCTAGCCCCTTACTGTGAAACCTTATACAGTAGGGGTTTTCAAACCAGTACTGGGAGCACATCCAGGACTGCACATTTTGTATATCTCCCTCATTGTATATCTCCTGATTCAACTCATCAGCTCATTAGTACAGATTGCAAGACCTGAATAGGGTGTGTCCAATAGGGGAGACATACAAAATGTGCAGTGCTGGGGGTGCTCCAGGACAGGTTTGAAAACCCCTGCTGTACAGTCAAGGCATCTATGGAGAGTGGAGACTGCACCCCAAACAGTTAATTTATTCTTTTCATTGATGCAATCCCCTCTGGGAGTGGATGCTCTAACTCACTGCTGGCCGAGGACTCACAAGTAAGCGTTTCCTCCAGTAAAATTACTGGTTAAGTGATACACAACATCAAGCTGGAAAGACAGTCAAGTACTGCAGGTAGTGCTGAGATGGCTTAACCAACCATAGTTCTCAGAAGCTAGTGGAGCTGCTGACAGCACCCAGCACGGTGTGGTGACGAGTCATACTGTATACAGCCATGCTTCTATGTTCAGAATCTGTGTGGCTGGGATCAAAGCTTTTCATTCCCACATTCATGGTCACTCAGTTGGCAGAAATTACCTTATTACAAGGTTTCTAAGGGGAACAAGATGGTTAACCCCCCCTTGCATCTCAACTATGCATATTTGGGATCTGGCTTTAGTCTTGAAGGTTCTTGCAGAACCTCAGTTTGAGCCTCTGCAGAAAGCTAAGTTGTACTCTGTAACGGCTGGACTAATCAGACACATTATTATTTGTTATATTTAATGAATAATCTCCTAACAGCAGAGATGTCTGTGAACTACCCCATAAGCCACAACTTAACACCAAAATGCATGCCTTATGATAGAATTATTAGATAGTGTAATCCTATTGGTGTCGTGGTTGATATCAAAATAATCCTTGTTTAGTTTTCTATCAACTGGTGTATATCACCTCCACATAATGTGCGTTGTATACTTGTTATATTACTCAGAGTATAAAGGGACACCAAACTGCCTGCCCACTGTGATCATGCAAATGAGCTAGCTTTCAAATAAACAAAACTTTCCTGCTCGAAATGACATTTTATTTTTTTTTTTTTACATTGGTCAAGCCAAACTCAAAGAGGTGTGATCTCTGCAGAAGTTAAAAGCCATGACCTCCAGACTCCAAGTGAAGAGAGAACGTTGGAGAGAAATGGAGACATCCAGTCTGACCGTGACACTGCAAAAAGTTGTTAATGTTGCATGTTTCCATCTGGGAGAGAACTCTCCCAACCACATCCAGGTCAGAATAACATTGGTGAAGTACGTTTTGCTTCACTCAACCCAGACGAACTTGATCAGAACTTCACCACCTTCAAACTATTGAACCATCAAGACTTTCATCCAAGACTGTATCCGGATGCTTGTTCAACATCCAAGGCAATGCAAGTATCGTACATTTAACTATACTAAACAGAGGCCCCTCTGTTACAAAGGTGCTGATGGTTCTGTTTAGGTGGTTAGCTGACTCACTTTTACGTTCCTTTTTCCCCATGTATTTATGAGAGTGTGTGTGTATGTGTTAATTTAGACTAGTTCAAGTTTAAGTTAAGTATTGTTTCTATGGTCACCACTTGCAAACCAAGTTCCTTTAACGAGCCGATCTTGCTACATGCTCTGGTGCATTATTACTGTATTAAAGTTATTTTTCGTGGCCACAAAAATAACATTTCTTAAAGAAGAATGAGCTTTATTGCCAGGTATGTTTAAAGTTGATGTTAAATCAACTTTAATGGTATGTTTAAAGTTCATGCTAAAGTTGATATTAAATTACACTGAATGTTCACTGGACGAACAGATTAGTTGATTGTAATATTAATTCTGCTGCAGTTACTTTTGGCAGCAGATTTTTTTGACACAATGTTGAGTGAGCTGAAAGGAAAGGAAGCATCTCCAGTTACTCAATGCAAGCTTGGTTACACTGCATAACCAGAGATGTTTTCTGTTGCTCTGGCTGAAAGGATAACAGTATAGTGAGATGGAAGAGAGCTCAAACCTCCTCAGATTGCATAATTTCCTGGAAAATTAATAGAAATGCTAAAGTAAGCCCCAAATCAAGTTGTTTGCATTGCTGTGCATTCCTGTGATAACACAAAACGGAAGCAGGCATGACTGAATAAGTATGTGTGATCTCTTTTTATGTGCACTGAGGACACAAATTAATAAATTACTGTCACGGTAACAATTAAATTGCTAAATCATTGGTTACATATTGATGATGGCTGAAGTCTGCATGTGAAGTGCAAACACCCACTTCTGTTTTGTTTGTTTTAGTCAGCTTTCCCTTGTTGGTGAAATGGTGGGGGGTGTGATGTTGTTCTATGGAACAATTTTAAGGGCGGGTTTTAGAGTAGCAAAGCTTGATTTCGTTCTTGAGGTCTGAGTCTGTTGTTAGCCCTGGCTTGCACTAGCCTTTTTTGGGGGGGGTGGTGTATATATTAGGATTCATCTACTTTTAGATGAGACATCAAAACATTGTTTGTCTATCAATAAATGTTTACATTTTCATGGGGTCTTTAATATTTTAGTTAGCAAACAAATAAACAATATATGCATATTAGTTTACAATTTTTATGGCATTAGTTTTAAATTGAATACAGTCTTGCTGCGTTTTCCGGTTTGAAAAACTGGAATATGCATTAGAAGGATATTAATGTCGTAATTTGTCTCCATCACACCATATTTCAAGCAGGCTTCAAGAAAGAGTGCAGCACGGTCGAAATATCTCATGCTGTCAAGAAATGTAAAGATATATCAGAGGTATATCTGAGCATCATGTCCTTTAACATGCACATTCAAAGTCAAACTGGTGGATGCTACACTTTTTAACAGAATGCCTAGGATGTGTCATTTTCATCTAGATGATACATAAAACAGTGCCTTTTACAAAGAGTTTATTGACATTCAGGCATGACACATAACACACTGAGTGACATTGATATTCTCACTTAAAAATGTATTATCCAATTTTAAACTAATTCTTCACAAATGAAAACTATAATTTACCTTCAGGTAATTTCCAACCCATATGACCTTTTTTCTTCCATAAAACACACAAAGGAAAAGTTCTAAAGGAATGCCAAGCTGCTCTTTTATGAAACAATAAAAGCATACTGTGATCAGTGACTAGAAAAAAAGTACTATAAGGTATACAGTAAGTATCTTCCTAAATTTCTGAAGACAATATCTTAGTTTTTTTTTTTTCATTTTCACAACTTGGCATGTTCTGTGTCAGGTTTGATATAAACAAAGCCACACATTCTCCAAAACATTTGCTTTTGTGTTCTAAGAAAAAGAAAGCCATATGGTTTTGAAACAACATGAGGATTTGTCAATTTTGTTTATTTGTTTTTTATTTTACTATTTTTTATGCTTCATTCCTAAAACAGACATTACATTTTAATGGATGAATGGGCAACAATACTCTGAATGGTCTAAATTAAAAACAAAAAGAAAAGAAATGCGTACCTGTGAAGCATCTCGCCCACTTTGTGAAAGCATCCTAATGAGAGCAGGACCAGGATGGCCTTTGATTTCTGATTTACCTGAGGAGAACACAGATGCTCTGCCCAGCGCTTCAGCACATCTGAACTTTCTGCTGGGCTCAGACGCACCTGAGAGAGAGAGACATCAAGATAGACATAAGAGATAAGATATATGAGATTCCAAAGCATTAATTTTCCTCACTATTTACAGATTGTTTGCTGCATATTGATCACATAAAACTGCAGTATAATTGGCTGGCTGCTCCAATCTAACTGGATGACTTCAACATGGAAGGTTTTTTATTAGTCCATCAGGAAACAAGCTGTATTTATAAGATAGCAGGAGGATATAATGAGTGCTGCAGAGGACACTTTGCCACTTTCCATGTCTTTTACTGTGACATCCTCAATTTCAGATTTATATGTCCCTGACACATAAAATAAAACTCTGTTTGGTTAAGTGGGTAGTTATTGGCCAAAACAAACTCCAAAGAGTCTGGTTTATAGCTCTCTCTATAAGTACATTTGTGGAAATGCATTGAACCATTTCTAACACAATTTTTGCTACTAATGTTTAAATCAGAACTATATTCACAGTGTTTATCAGTTTTATATTGCTAGCAAAGCAATTGTGAATATATCACAAAGAACTGATTCATTACTGGCTCTAGATTGTGTTTGCTCAAAGTACAGTACCTTAGCCAGCCAGGCAGCACGGTTCCACTCTCCATACGTCTGCAGATAACGACAAGCATCTGCTGCTTTGTCGATCAGGCAGAGCAACTGCACACCCTCTAAGAGACAGAGATGCAGAGAGAAACAGTGAGGAGACAACAGCAAAAAACAACAACAACAACAAAAACAATGTTGAAAGCATTCAAACATTTTAAGCAAACACTTGAAAGCAAACATTTTGAGTAATTCAGGTTGGTATAATATAGATATTATCCCAACATAAAACAGTTACTATGCCCAGCATAGATGGTGGGCCTCTAGACTAACACATTACACCACAGTGATAGTTAAGATAGCATTCACATGGTTTCACACTTAAATGGTTACAAACTTAAATTTACTAATAAGAACCAGGGTTTCTTTTAGATCAGGTGGATGGCCGGGTGCATGTGCATTGTTTACTTGAGGAAAAGATGGCAGCAGGATGCACTATGGGAAGAAGGCAGGTCAGCGGTGGCAGTGTTATGATCTGGGCAATGTTCTACTGGGAAACCCTTGGTCCTGGCATTCATGTGAATGTTCACCAGAATTAGAACGAATTCAAGCAGCATAGTAAATGTAAAGACTGTGAGCTTGTGTTTACGTTTTCCTGTATTCTACACAGTACTGCACAGTATTTTAGATTATACACATTTAACAGGTGTGCAGTATTTTTTGATATCAGTATTTTTATATTTTGAGTCATGTTACTTTTTTCTTAGCATGAAATAAAGGTGGTGTATTTTGCATCGGAGCAATAAAAGTGGTAGCCTGTTTAACACATGGATTTATATGCTAAATGTCAATATAGTCATGTTATTAATACATACTCTAATAAAATGGCATGCATTTAAACATGTCACGCAGATACTGATATGTCATAATATATTAGTTAATATGTATATTTGTTTTAATCTAAGAAGCAGACTATTAGATGTTATTTATTAAAACTAAAATGGCTAAAACGAAAAAAAAAATAGTATTGTTTTTTAAATATAAAACTATAATAATAACACTGTAGTAGTTAATGTGAGGGGTGTACTCACTTCTGTGAGATACTGTATATATGTATATGTATGTACATGTATGTGTATGTATATATATATATATATATATATATATATGTGTGTGTGTGTGTGTGTGTGTGTGTGTATGTATACACTCAAAAAATTAGAATATCGTGAAAAAAGTTCATTTTTTGTAACTTGTTTCAAAAAGTGAAACGTTCATATATTCTAGATTCATTACACGTAAAGTAAAACATTTCAAAAGTTTTTAGTGTTTTAATTTTGATGATTAGAGCTTACAGCTCATGAAAGTCAAAAATCCAGTATCTCAAAATATTAGAATATTTACATTTGAGTTTCATTAAATGACCATCCCTACAGTATAAATTCTGAGTATCTCTTGTTCTTTGAAACCACAATAATGGGGAAGACTGCTAACTTGGCAATGGTCCATTAGACGATCATTGACACCCTCCACAAAGAGGGATAGTCACAGAAGGTCATTACTGAAAGGGGTGGCTGTTCACAGAGTGCAGTATCAAAGCATATTAAATGCGAAGTTAACTGGAAGGAAGAAAATGGGTAGGGAAAGGTGCACTAGCAACAGGGGTGACCACAAGCTTGAGAATACTGTCAAGCAAACCCGATTTAAACACTTGGGAGAGCTTCACAAGGAGTGGACTGAAGCTGGAGTCAGTGCATCAAGAGTCACCACGCTCAGACGTCTTCAGGAAAAGAGCTACCAAGCCACTTCTGAAACAGAAACAATGTCAGAAGCATCTTACCTGGGCTAAGGAGAAAAAGAACTGGACTGTTCAGTGGTCCAAAGTCCTCTTTTCAGATAAAAGTAAATTTTGCATTTCATTTGGAAATCAAGGTCTGGAGTCTGGAGGAAGACTGGAGAGGCACAGAATCCAAGCTGCTTTAAGTCCAGTGTGAAGTTTCCAAGTCAGTGATGATTTGGGGTGCCGTGAAGTCTGCTGGTGTTGGTCCATTGTGTTTTATCAAGTCCAAAGTAAATGCAGCCGTCTACCAGGAGATTTGAAAGCACTTTATGCTTCCATCTGCTGACAAGCTTTATGGAGATGCTGATTTCCTTTTTTCAGCAGGACTTAGCACCTGCCCACAGTGCCAAAACCACTTCCAAGTGGTTTGCTGACCATGATATTACTGTGCTTGATTGGCCAGCCAACATGCCTGACCTGAACCCCATATGGAATCTATGGGATATTTTCAAGAGAAAGATGAGAAACAGTCGATTCAACCATACAGACGAGCTGAAGGCTGCTATTAAAGAAACCTGGGCTTCAACAAAAAACTTTTGAAATGTTTTACTTTACATGTAATGAATCTAGAATATGTGAAAGTTTCACTTTTTGAAATAAGTTATAAAAAAATAACTTTTTCACAATATTATTTTTTGAGATGCACCTGTATATTCAAATTTACATCTATATATTCACAATTTACATTTATATATTCCGAATTATAACCATCTATTCAAATTCACTTCTATATATTCAGACTTATAACTATATATTCAGATTTACTTCTATATATTCACAATTTACATTTATATATTCCGAATTATAACCATCTATTCAAATTCACTTCTATATATTCAGACTTATAACTATATATTCAGATTTACTTCTATATATTCACAATTTAAATTTATATATTTAAAATTATAACTATATATTCAGATTCACTTCTATATATTCAGACTTATAACAATATATTAAGATTTACTTCTATATATTCACAATTTACATTTTAGAAAAATTTGTGTCTGCTCAATTGTGCTCCTTCCTGCAAAGAAAAATTGATATCTATGAAGAATTTCAGTCAGATTTCAAGCCCCATCATAGCACAGAAACGGTACTTGTTAAAATTATAAATGACTTGCTTCTTGCATCATTACTAGTTTTACCTGATCTTAGTGCTGTGTTCCACACTATATATCATGACATACGCATAGATCGATTACAAAACGGGTATTAGATTGATACCCCGTAGATTGATTATACAGGTATTCAAGGGCAGGCTTTAAGATAGTTTAGATTGTGCATGTCTGATTGTTACCACTTTGTTTATTTAAACGGAGAATCATCTCAATTACCACCTGTAAAGTATGCAGTGCCACAAGGATCTGTCTTAAGGCCCTCTGATATTTTCAATATACAAGTTGCCCCTTGATATATTGGTATATTAGAATAATAGGAATAGTTTCCATTGTTATGCTGATGATACCTCAACTATATATTTCAACAAGCCCAGATGAAACTTCTAATTTATCTAAGCTAACAGAGTGTGTTACAATTTTAAAAGACTGGATGACCAATAATTTTCTCCTTTTAAATTTGGATAAGACAGAGATATTACTTATTGGACTAAAAAAAAAAAAAAAACTAATGTACCAAGTACACAGAATCTCTAAGATTACAATTTACATCTAGACGAATGTACTGTTCCTTCCTCTACAGTCAAAAAATTGGGTGTTATATCAGACTGCAACTTGTCTTTTGAAAATCATATTTCACATGTTACAAAAACAGCATTCTTCCATCTTATAAACATTGCCAGGTTATGAACCATGTTACCTTATTCTGATGCAGAAAAGCTAGTTCACACATTCACACATCAAGACTGGACTATTGTAATGCACTGCAAGGTGTTTGTCCTGCATCTTCAATAAACAAGCTACATGTAGTCCAAAATGCAGCTGCTAAAGTCCCTAAGAGGTCAAGAAAATATGATCATATTACCCCAATTTTACAATCTCTACACTGGCTACCTATTAAGTTCTGTATCAGTTACAAAATATTACTACTTATAAGGCCCTAACCAGTCTTCTATCACGTTACAATCCATGTCGCTCCTTAAGGTTGCAAAATTCTGGACCTTTGGTAGTACCTAAAATAAAGTCCACTAAAGGAGGTAGAGCTTTCTCGCATTTGGCTCCCAAACTCTGGAATAGTCTTCCTGATAACATTCAGGGTTCAGACACATCTCTTCAGCCAAACATTCACATAATGTATCTCATAACCTGTACTCCAGTTATATCTGATCAAATGCACATTATCATTCTTTACCGGGTTTGAACACATTATCTCTTTGCTTGGTTTGAACAGCAGCTATGCTAATTTTTCTCTATTTGCATTTCTGTTTCTGCCACGGGATGGGAATCCTGAGGTAACTAGGAATTACACAAGCTTCAGTCTGCATTCAACCTCCTATGATAATCTGAGATGACCGAACACCTGAGAAGAGATGATGCCAGCCCCTCCGAGGACCTCAGATGACGACAACCCTAAACCAACATACAAAACTACCAAACTTTCCTCTAAGTTTGATCGCAACATATAATCATTGCTGTTAATAATGTTCCCTGTTTGTTTGAATACATGTCACTAATTAACTGCATGCTTTTTACAGTACATTTCTGCCATATGGACATTACCTTGTCACCGCTGATAAACTACTCCTAAATGTAATGTAGAAACTGCTTTGCAACGAAGCCCGTAGCCAGCTATGAGATCAACGAGGTCTGGACCACTGTAAATTTTTCATGTTCAAAAATAAAATTTGTTCTCCGAATGACTAATTTGCTGTTTGAAACTCATCATATGAATGTCTGAATAGGCTGGGGGTATATCGACTTTGTACGATATATCGATATTTTCTTTATAATGAAAGGGCCTTTATAGTTTCGTTTTGCATATTAGTTTAAGCGGCTCGCCCCGTCAGATGCTCTGACAGAAAGGCTGCGTGTGCCACTGTCAGGGACACTGGGCTACTCGCGCTGTTTAATGTGTTTGAGATGTGCAGTCTTCCTGAATGCATAACTTACATTTCACAGGTATATTCTGCATCTGTAAATGTTAGAAAGCCATGGACATACTTCCATTTTTCTGTCAGAAGTGCATGAACCTTCTGCTTTGGGATTCTCCGCTAAACTTCTTTGCTAGACTTCAATGAACGAGCGCCAAACAGACAGAGCTCAATTAAATAGGAG